ATCCAACAACTTCTTATCATAACCCTTGGAGGCAAACCGATCGCACAAGGTGGTGGCTTGTTTTTCTAATTAATCGTCAGCAATACATATTGTTCTGACCCTCAGCAGGTGGCTGTAAGGTAGACTATTGTGTAAGAGTAGACGGATGGTAACTTGAATAATGCAGAAAATTGTTTATATTCGTCTTCTTGCGATACATGGTGGTCTGAAGTCCATTGTCTTTGCTAACCAGTACATCCTCATTGGATTCGAGAGTGAATTTCATAGTAGGCAACCTCGAATGAATGTACAGTCTGAACTCTTCCAATTGCTCATATGTCCCACTCCAAATTAAAAAAACATCATCAATGTAACGGAACCAACATTTCAAAAGGGGGAAAAACGAATTACCATTATAAACAAATCTTCTTAAAACTTCCCCATGAATACATCTGCGGAATTAGGTGTGAATGGGGACCCCAATGCAGTGCCCTGTTACTGGATGTAGAAAACATTCTCAAGCTTAATGTCGTTTTTGGTTAACACCTCTTGAGCCAGTTCACATAAAAAGTCAGTGGGGGGGCCCTGTTCATCTCTCTTGTCTACCTCAAAGTACAATTGTGTATAACTGTCATATATGTGTGAAATATTATGTGAGTATCTGTATGTGAACAGGGCTGGAGGAGAGGCAGTCCAGGGGCAGACGGGTGAATGTGAGGCTGAGGGTAAGGAGCCTCCCCTCAGGCAGCAGTGTGTTGAGGACCAGGTGAGGTGCGTGGAGGAGCGGAGGGGGTATGTGGAGTGTCTACGCCAGGAGATCCAGACTGAACAGAGACTAGCTGAGAGAGATCTGGAGAGAGAACAGGCACATCTGAGACAACAACACACTGACAGTGAGTACACCTCTACTTTCATATAGACTACAGTACTCTATACATAGCGTATACTATATGTGTGTCTGTAGAATTAAGTTAAACAAAGAAATGATCACTTTTTGTATGTGCATGTTAAATATGTTCTGTTTCCTCTGTCTTCAGTCCTGCAGTGGATCTTACAAGAGAAGCAGCGTCTGGCAGCTATAACGTTAGAGGAAAGAGGAACTCAGGAGTTTGGTGTACAGACTGATCCTATACCAGCTGATCCTATACCAACTGATCCTATACCAAATTATCCTATAGCAGCTCCCATCCTAGACAGCCTGCTAACGGAAGGTTCGGAAGGTTCTGAGGAAGAGTGTGGTCAAACAGTTGTGCCGCCCTCCAAAGTGGTTCTATACAGGAAGAAGGTGGTTCAGGAGGAGCTGTTACGATATCACGCCCTGCGGAGTGCCGAGAGCCGAGTTCGACGCAAAAGGCTGCGCTACCAGCTGGAGAGGATCGCTCGCAAGCGCCATCTACTGGAGGCTAAGAGGGAACTGCAGAGGCTCGAGAAGGCCCTGCCGCCTGGACTAGAGAGCCCTGTGTCTCCTGAGCTGGGGTCCCCCTCAAGGTCAAGAGAACGTCAACCTGTTTTGCGCAGGAATTCTGTCTCATCAGACCTTCTGTCCCGCTTGTACCCCCAACACACCCCAATCTTCAGGTCAGTACAAGTAGGCTAGTCTCACACAAAGATATTTATTCAAGCCAATATTTAGCAGAATGGAATTACACAGACATGTTGTAAATGATAATGTCCTTACCCCTTGTTTTGTTTTCCCCAACAGCCACTTCCTGAAGAGAAATGGACCATCTGAACTGACATTTGGATCCATCGGCTCCAGGCAGTGGGTGTCTGATGAATGTCTTCCACGCGAGAGGATGAGGAGTCGCTCCAACACGTTCTCCTCAGGAACAGGACACAGTAGACAGGTGCAGGGGTACAGGAGCAGAGCCAGCTCCTCAGAGAACCTCAAGCCGCCTGTGAAGGCGGAGGAGGAGGCTCTAGTTCAGCTGCCATGTCATGAAAGACCAGAGAGGAAACCACTGCTTCCAAAACGCGGACTTGAACTTACATTCAAGAACAATCAGAACCCAGCACAATCACAAAATGGAGGGAACTCTACAGTCAAGCAGTAATGTCATCATCAAGGGACCAACAGTTACAGTAAGCAAATCTAGCAGTCAGACTCAGCGGGCTCCATGTCAGGGAGTGAAGAGCCTTCCCCGTGGTAGTAGGAAGGGCTTGGAGACCATCTGTAAGGTCTTATCACGCTCAGTCGGTCCTGGGATAAAGACAGCGTTGGCCAGGGTGTTTAGAAAAACACCATCAGGACTGAGTATTGGAGGCAGAGTGACCAAGCCTAGCGGTAAAACAGCAAGCCGATTTCACTGGAAACAAAAGCGAGGTGTAGAAGATGCCAAGATGAGCAGGAAGAAATGCATAATGAAAACAACTGTCTCATGTGAGGACCTTGATCAGAATACTCCTTCACATGATTGTAGGTGGAGACAAAGACAGTGGCGTAGTGCAGAGACTCTGATGAACCAGGCTAGCACCCTAAGGTGGATGGAGAGACCGCAGGGATTGGGACTGGCAGGATCGGAGGAGTTTGACTGTGAGGAAGAAGAAAAGGGGGAAGAGGAGGTTGGGGGTGACCACTCCTCAGACTGTGACAGCTTGTTCTCTGTGGACTCCCTGTCCTCGGTCTACGCCACAGCCCTGGCAGAGCAGCTGAAGCAGGAGGAGGCTATCCAGAGCGAAGGAGAGAGCGAAGACAGTCAGATGTCGAAGGACTCACTGGCTATGGAGAGCAGAGGGAAGCATATTGCAGCAAGGCCGGCACAGAGACGGACTGGGGTAGTACCCAGTCACTCTGTGGTGAGGGGTTTTCTCAATCTCTCGATTGGAAAAACTATAAACATGGCATCAGAGATTCAGCCAACTGAAGAGGGAAGAGAAGACATTGGGAAACCTAATGAAATGCCAGCAGAGGCTTACTGGAGCCATCATAGTGGTCCTAAAACCCGAGTCAATAAAGCAACCGGAGCAACAAGGGAATCACTGTACCAGAAGCAGCCAGCGACAGAACCCAGGTGTAGAGACCCTGTATCAAAGCTGAGTGAAGAGCTTGGGCACGTCCACACCGTGTTGACCAGCAGCCCTCACTCTCCGAGCAGCTGTAGTGTGAGGGAACCAGAGAGTTTGCTAATGCTTACAGACGCATGGTCCTCCACTGATGCAGCAGATAGTCCTAGGATACCTAGGGACACTGCCATGTTGAGGAGGAGGATGGTGTTTAGTCATGGTGCGTTGGACAGCAGCAGTAGTCCCAGTGTGGATCTGTCTGACTGTCGGAGTGGATTTGGATCAACTGGATCCCATAGCTCCACATCTACCGACGGCACAGAGGAAGAACATGTTCCAGTAGAGGAACGAAGACTTGGGGTTTCAACTGATACTTTGAATTTCCCTGATTCTCAGCTTCTCCAAATGTCAGCGCCACATGTGATGATGCCATTGAGTCATGAGGCGGTGTGTTGCAAAGACTATTTTGAACGTCAGTTAGTCAGTTCAGAAGGTTTGCTGAAGGGATCTATTAATGATCCAGGCTTCCGCCAAAATCAAAGTAGAGATGTCTCATCAGAGCTTCCTTCACCTAGATCTGCATGTGCTCCAACCATTGACTATAAGATTCAACATACCCCATCAACATCAACATTGGAGGCTGACATTTTTCATGGGCCTCAGATGCAGCCGGTCACATTATCTCCAGAAGTGATGTTTGTGGGAGTGGCAGACCTAACAAACTACACTGATGCTTGTTTGTCTACCTACAGTCATCAGTCAAAAGCCAGTCTGTTAACTTACCCTAAAACTGAAGGTGAGATGTTGAATGAGACATCTGACATCGAAAGTGCCCCAAATAATTATTCTGAAGATAATGAACTATGCAATGTAGATGGAGACATGGAAGAAGTCAAAGATGAGGAGTTTTGTGAAGCAAGCAATACCAAATACATATCACCTGAAAGTGAGTTTAAAATGCTGCAAAAGCTTGAAGCCAAAGTCACAGAGCAGGACTGTGTGTTGCCAGAGCACAAGTTTTTCAAAGCGTCTTATAACAATTCCATAAAGAGGAACAAAGGCCTGCAGGACAGTTTCTTTGGCAGCTTGAAAATTCCAAAGAGCAGCAACGGAGGGGACTTCTTAGCGTTCTCCACTGTAACAGTGAAGAACAGCCAGGAAGTTATTTCACCAGACGACAACAATAACACCAGTGAATTAAAAGACAAACAAACTTCCTCTGCAGTCGATTCATTTAAACTAAATCTGGGCTGCAATGAAGGTCATATCCAACGAGATACCTCTGCTTTAGTAGCAATGTCAGTGTCTGTGCACATATCCCATGAAAATCCCTCTCCGTGTGGCCATAAAACCATTGACATGGGGGGCCATAAAAAGACTCCTTTTGGAGAGAAGGCCGTTATTGAAAAGAGAAGAGAAGTAGAACGAGGTGAAGAAAGAGAAGTTCAAGGGTGGGGTGAAAAGCTAAACTCAGATAGCAAGAGAAGAGACGTAGAGAATGGTAGATGGGGACATCACCATGGTGATAGTAACTGTAGTTCATCAGATCAGCGAATCTCAGAGGTGATGAAGGAGAATATGAGGATGTCAGTTATAGATGGGGGTGGAGACAACAGTAACAGTGAACTGGACAGTCAAAGTAGTCAAATCCTTAATGCCTTGCCAACAAGTAATCCTAACAAATGCGATTCACCAAAGGATCTACAAGCAGTGGAGGATCATCAAGTAGCTGATGATCCACTGGTAATCATTAAGCCAGGCTCTTGTTCGACATCAGAAAAGTCTTGTATCGGTTCTGAGATGCTAAGAATGGACAACAAGACAGACATGGAAAACGTGAGCCAAGGAAAGGATCTTAGACTCTCTACTTCCATCAAATTAAATTATATGAATCAACCAAGTTTCATAACCAAAGGGAATGATCCAGACAGTAGGACAAATATCTCCTCAGAGTTCCAGTTAAGTCAGAGCTTTCAAGAGAACGTGAGAGAAGTGCAACTGCAAAAATGGGATAACTGATGTTGATGCAAGGGGATACAAGGGTCAGGATGCTTCTGGCTGTTCTGTCATTACACCGAATGCAAGTGTCAATTCTGGTGCAGCATCTTTCACTGTTAAAAGCCATGAGCTCCAATTAAGTCTGGCATTGAACAACCAAGGTATACCTGACTACATCAACAAGCCTGTACTGTTACCAATGGGATGTTCTTCAAGGTCTACTTCCACTTCCACCACACCCAAAGAATTATTACTTTCTCAAGGGAAAGTGTTTGAAAGGGATGTCCCTTTTTCACATATGGAGAACATAAAGAAACAAACAGGTCCTGAGATATATCATCCTCATCATACCTGTCTTGGTAATAACGATAAACAAACTGTCAACCAGTGTGGTTCACCTGAGCAAACCCTGAAACCTAGTGCTCTACAACCTCTCCAGAACTGCCCAGGAACAGTGTCCTCAGTGACTACACCACCAAATAAGGCCTTTGCACATGCAAGGGACTTCATAATGGATTCAGAATATGAGGTTCAAGGCAAAAGCAAGAACCAATGCAAATTGACCTCAACGGGTGCAAGTGGACAGCTTTACTTAAATGATCGTCATCAGCATGCAGCTGTAGATTCACTCTCTGACAAAAGCGGACATCAATGTAGACCAGAAAACATTGAGAAGCACCACAACAGTCAACCACTCTCAAATAATGTATGTGAATCACAGAAGCCAGAGGAGAAAGGCAGAAATCACATTGAGGTCAGAAAAGAGCTCCAAAAAGACACTCCCTATTCCACAAATCTGAGTCAGGAACTACCACAGTCAAAGTGCTCACTGAGTCAGGAAGTACAACAGGCAAAGTGCTCACTGAGTCAGGAAGTACAACAGTCAAAGTACTCACTGAGTCAGGAAGTACAACAGTCAAAGTGCTCACTGAGTCAGGAAGTACAACAGTCAAAGTGCTCACTGAGTCAGGAAGTACAACAGTCAAAGTGTTCACTGAGTCAGGAAGTACAACAGTCAAAGTGCTCACTGAGTCAGGAAGTACCACAGTCAAAATGCTCATCTGAAACTCATGTAGACAAATTTCATAAGACTTGTGTGACCGTTGATCCTGATCCTAAAAAGAAACATCCCAGTGTAAAACACAAAAAATGCCACTTTGAAAAATGGCTGAAGGCTCAGTGCAATGTGAGCAACTTTGCCTCTGACAATACCAAAGATTGCCAAATGGCTCAAAATGAAGAAGGGTCAATGACTGATGGACCACTGGCAAAATCTCCTGTAACCTTGTTTGACGTACCAAGTAGAATAAATAGTATTGGATCTTCATCCCAAATAACACATGGAAGTAGTGATGCTAATATGAAGATATTGGGTGACATTTGCAGAGATATCATGTCCAGAGAGGGAAATACCAAAACATCTAATTACAGGCAACCCCATCAGTTCAGTGGCAGTAGTGTTGTTCACTGCAAAAAGGGAAAATCCAAGAGGTTCAGAAGGTCCAAAGCCCAGGCACCTCCTAGCCCATCCTCTGACTCCACACTCAAGTCTTCCTCAGACGAAGAAGAGAAAATCCCTCCCAGGTTGCATCGAAACAGGTCTTCATCAACAAGAATTAAGTCAGGAACTCAAACTAATGGGAAACTAGAGGAGATCATTCAATGCAATGGTGCCGCAATTTCTCCAGTCAAAAGACAATCACCACAGTCAAAAGACAATCAGACTATGGAAGCTTGTACTGCCCGGACCCCATGTAAATATGATGGTAAAGCTGGAGTTGGCATCGGTTTGAGTCAGAAAGAACACAGCCCCAATGGACAATCAGCACATGCTCTTGCAATGGAGAAAATGACCAATCGGGAGAAAATCATGTCTTCCAGTATCAAAGAAACTGAGATGTCACACTACACACCAAAGACTCAGGATTCTCCAATGCATTTTGCCTCCATCGACATCAATCCCTTTGCTCCTCAATGGCAAGAAGAAGAGCCAAACCAAAGCTGCTACAAGAACCAGGTATTTGGAAGTGCTGCATTTGGAAGTGCTGCATTTGGAAGTGCTACATTTGGAAGTGCTGCATTTGGAAGTGCTGCATTTGGAAGTGCTGCTGACATTTCTTGCAAATCACCCCTGCTGGATGCCACTGACAAACGCATCACTAGATGCCACAGTGTCGACAATGGTTTAAACGTGCAGAACTCTCCTTTCAACTCCCACCTGAGCACTTACGCCAACAACAAGGGACTCTCCAGCACCCTGAGCAGCATGGAGGAACATTTCAAAGATCAAATGTCCCCCAACGCCCATCTGAAAGGACGTACTAACCAAGTCTCTGGTGTTGACGATCACAATTATCAACTGACCCAGAGCATGAGCTGGATCTCATCTTCTTGCTACGATGTATCTGGAGATCTTGGTAACAGCACTGGCCAGGTGGATGAGATCATGTTGGTTTATGACTCTTCAGAGCAGGAGTCTCAGGGTAATGGGTTTCAAAGGTCTGAAACACACACCACATGTGACCACAGCACCCAGACAACCTTGACTCAAGAAACCATGACTCAGACAACGATCAACCATGGTGATCTACAGAGGAGAAACAACCGTCTCAGAAAGAGCAGCACTCAGGTACCAGTGTCTCAGAAAACCACAGAGGCCTGTAGAGAGACCAGCACATGGGCCAGCCTTCAGAACATGTCTGAGCATCTCTCACAGCTGATAGTCAACACCTCTGATCTTCTGGGGAATGTTCAGGGTATGAGGTCTGGTGATAGCCTCAAACATAGCCTGACAGGAAATGTTAAATCTTCATCTCATCTGTACTCCTCCAAAGATTGGACAAAGAGAGACTGCTCAACCCAAACTGCAGTAGATATTGGGATCCAGACCGAAAGGACTTCAACACCCGTTCAAGACAAAATGTCTATACACCAAACTCTGTCCACAGAGAGATCCAAAGCCCATGAAGTTAATGTGATAGTCAAAGTGATTGGCTCAGAAGTTCTCAATGTGTCACAAGAGAAGGGGCTTCCCCTTCAACATCAACTCAAGAACAAGCCCAATGATAATATTCAGAGCATGCCTGACCTGCGACTCAATGGCTCCACTGTTAACCAAAGATCTATCTTGGAACCAGAGAGTCTCCTGCACAAAGTCCCTTCCATGGAGACTGTCCAACGTCACAATCATTCAAATCCTCCCATTCGTCATAGAAGCAATGAGGACTGCCAACCTGAAAGAGTGTCCTCCTCCAAAAGCATGGGAGTCTCTGAAGTCTGCAATCATTTGTCAGAAATACTCAGACCAGAAAGCCAGAATGTCTTGAGAAGGAGTGACCCAGGAATAGGCTATAGAAAACAAGTGAGCTTCACAGACCGTGCATGCTCACCCATTCTCACTGTGGGTCCCAGGGCTGGTTCCAACCAGAGCAGAATAATGTATTTACAGAGTCTCAAAGAAGAACAGAAGTTTGAGATGCAAAATAGAAGTAAAGAACACATTTCGGACCGAAAGGAGTGCCAGTCCACACCTTGTTTAAGTTACAGCGGACAGAAAACATGCATGTCTTTCACAAAGAATGATAAGATATCAGGACATGACTCCCTTCATCTGTCTGAGAAGCCTTGTGATAACTCCACCACAAAATCTATGGGATTGATATCCCTGGAGAATGTGAGTGCCGTCAGCCATTCAAGCCCAAACGGGTCTGATCGAAACTCAGAAAGTCTTAGTTCGCCCATTGATGAATACATCCACAAGGAAACCAGCATTGTCATCCACGAAGAAGAAAGGGAAATGAGTGTATGGCACAAAACCAGCCAAAGTCCAAGATGGTCCCTTCCTTCTGTTCTAAGCAGTAATGGAGTCACTATGCAGAACCACACCTCTCTCATCTTTAGTCAGACTGGTGAGTCCAAACAGGAGGAGAAATCAATCTCTACTTTTGGAGATCAACTAAGCTACAGGAGACATTCAATAGATTACCACAACAGTAGATCATCAGAGCGTCCAGTGGAGCACTTCACTGGTGCTTATGAACATTCCCCTATCAGTGACAACACCATCCATGTTCAGGAGGATGACATGGTGTCATTGTCCCCAAGTGAGTGCAACACAGACATCCTAGTGAACACCAACCCAGTCACCCACACTTCCAACTTCCAACACCAACACTCCCCACAGCAGCTAGATCACCAGCGGCTCCCTGAGGACCTACCTGTGCACAACAAGTTCACCAACTGGTCTGGTATCAGCCAGCATCCCTCTGAGATAAGACGGACCAATAGTTTAATGAAACCAGCCATGTATCTACCCACTGGTCATGAAGCACAGAGGAACCATCCAGAGTGGGCTGAGCTGGAGAGCCAGGAGTCAAAGTCCAGCTTGAGTCCAAAGTCCATGTTCCATAAGGACAAGAAGACAAGGGAGATAGAGAGACTGCGTAAGGAGCGAGAGCAGATCATGGCTACGGTTCAACTGAACATGAACCCTCATCATCTGACCGTGGAGCTGACTGAAGCCAAGCTGCACTGTGGTCTGGGAGAGACGGACACGCAGTTAAAGTTGTTGACATCTGGAGGAACCAAGGAGGAGGAACCGTCCCCTGTCCATACCAAACAGCAGCTCTATGACCGGTAAGGCTAAATGGCCCTAAAGATGTGATTGTGTTGATATTATGATGTAATTAGATCAATTTAAAATGGTAGGTTTATAAAATGTAAATTTTTCCATATGTTCCTCTTGTATCAGGCACCGGAGGAGCATTGAGAGTTTGAGGAAGGAGAGGGAAGCTCAGCTTCAGACCAGCCGTAGGACTCGCAGCCTTAGCCCCAGCAAGCACCACTCCACCCGGTCCCCTCCTCAACCCAGATCCCCTCCTCAAAAAGCCTCCAGAGTTTCAGCCCTGCCCATTCGTCGCAGAGACTACCTTCAACAGTTCCGACAGGAGGTAGTGACAAGCAGCATGTAAGACACTCCACAATAAGTCACATTTTTGTTTTGATTATTTCTACTTTGCTCAACAGTTTTCCATGTCCAATTCTCACATTTTGTGACAAATATTATTCTAAAAAGGACTATATACAGTTATTGATTGATTGATTAATAAATTGATTGATTGTAAATCTGCCTTGTCTTTCCCCAGGATCCCAGATCCACCCAGAGGAGAGGGTGAATATCCCTCTGAGATAGAGCAGCTTCTGCGTGACTATGGCCGTGCCCGTGAGGAGGCCATGACTGAGATAGCCCGTGCACGGGAACGGCTCCGCAAGAGGACAGAGCAGGAGAAGAGACGACTCCAGCAACAGGCTCTGTCTCAGATGGTAAAGGTTAGTCACAGCAAGAAGTCAACGTTTCACAGTTGAAAGCCCAAGATGTATTCAGCATATTTTGTCCATGGATTTGTATTACTTTTTAAAATCCCGTCACCTCCCATTCACTAGAAGGCGGAGCTCTTTTTCATGGATCCAGCTCGAAGGACCATGAAAGAAAACTCCACCTCATAGTCAGAGACTTAGGTTGTCCTCTGATCAGTTGCTGTTTTCCTAAAACGTATCTTTCTCTCTTCTTCTCTGTCAACTGATAATTTATTCACATTTAGGATGACTTGCAGTATCGGAACAGAGTCAGCAGCAGTACACTGTGCACTGGGTCGAGTCTGAGCCTATCCTCTGGACCAACCTCTGGCTACAACAGTGGTAACACAGCTCAGCTGAAGGATGGCAGTAGACCCTCACTGACACTGCAGGTACTGTACTAGTCTTTGAAGATGTTCTTTGCTGCTTTCTTAAGCCCAGGGACTGCACTTGAAAACTAGCCAGCTGGCTAAAACAGGCACATTTACAGTAATGATGATTAATTTGCACTGTCCCTGAAATAATACATTCAATAAAGTAAAGTAAAGCCTAATTGCTGGTTTATAGTTCATTTGACAACAGGTCTATAGAGCACAACACACTTAGAAAAAAGGGTTCCAAAAGGGTTCTTCCGCTTTCCCTATAGCAGAACCCTTTTTGGTTCTACCTGGAACTGAAAGGGTTCTACCTGGAACCAAAAAGGGTTCTTCAAATGATTCTCCTATGGGGACAGCCGAAGAACCCTTTTAGGTTTTAGATGGCACCTTTTTTTCTAAGTGTGTAGAATATCATATATATCTATGGACAGTCGGTAGACTTACTGTAAACGAAGCTTAAGGGTGTTGAAACTTACAGCAAACTATATTCACTGTGGTGCAATGCATCAGATTATTGTTTATTCAGTGTGTCAATGTGTTTGTATCCATCCCTATTCAAATAAACCAGGAATAATTAAACAGCCCTAATGAATAATCTGTGTTGTTTTTGTCTGGTGCCAGGTCACTGGGGTGCTGGGTGAAGGGCTGAATGAGCTGAAGGTCAGGTCTCGCCCTCCCATCTGCAGTTCTGAGAGTGTGAAAACCCAGCGTGCCTGGCTCTCTGCCCAGGGTAAGGACTGACTCACCACCACCAGCCAGCAACCACTCTCCACATCCTCATCTTCATCACACACTCAACTGACTCCAAATGGCTGTTATTTAGTCAGTACAGGATCACTATGAAACAATCATAAGACATTAAAAGGGGGGGGGGGGGGGGGGGGGGGGGGGGGGGGGGGGTCATACATGCTTATGACAAGTCTTAAATTACATTATAAATGCATCATGCATAATACCTGTAGGCTTTAAGTAAAGTGTTACTGTGTTTTTAATTCCCATTATAACCGTGTGTGTGTCTTATCTATTATGTATTGTCTAGATGTATGTCTGGAGCCTGGTGTCTCAGGGTATGACCCTCTGCTGTCATCCTCACCAGCATCTCCTACGAGCCTACGACAGCGCACCGCCTCCTTTGGCTCCGCCTCATCCATATCGACAGCCTATCAGGACTTCACTTCCTGTCTGCTTGGTCGAGCTATGGCTGAGGTACAATTCAATTAAACTTTATAGAATAACACAAGACAGCAAAAATACACATTTCCAATTCACCTTGGACTATGAACTTGTTAATTGTTGTATGTTTGCTAAAATGTGCCCCAGGTGCGCTTGGCTGCTGCTGGTGACATGGGGAACCTGGTGATGGGGAAAGCTGCAGCTGGTTGGAGGTCAGTTGCATCATGGGTTCTCCTTTATTACATTCAGGTTAACGAATAGTAAACCATGTTAAAACTAGCTACACTCCCAGCAGACAAAACTGGTTGTAATGATGTGATTTCAACCAGCTTTTTCCAATGGGTTTATGTTACAGATTGTGTATTTACAACCTTCCTGTCCTCTCTCTCTCTCTCTCTCTCTCTCTATCAGGTACCAGGGCATGGAGCGAGGTGTCCAGGCCTTCTACAAGCCCTCCTCCAGCCAATCTGTGCACTCCTTCCTGGGGGCGGTGGAGCTGGAGAGGCCCCTGGCCAGCCTGTGGAGCATGGTCCGAGACCACTCCAAGACCCACCTGTACCACGAGGCTGTCCGGTCTGCCTGGACACGACCACTAGATGACAGCACTCAGTTGGGTTTGTCTGCTTCCTGGAGTATAGTATAGAGTTGGAGTTAATTCACTACTTAAAAATGGTGAAAGCCTTCAATGGTGCTGCCCATGCTAAAACACGCTTTGTGTCAAATGCACCATCTGTCTATCTCTATGAGTCAATTCCATTTTACTTCAGTCAATTACTTCCAGGAAGTAAACTGAAATTCAGATTTCAGTTGTAATTTTTCCTCATGCTTTTCCATGTGTCTCTCCTCCTCAGTCTACCTGCTGACAGACCCGTCCAGCTGCCACCTCAAACAGCCCAGAGACTTCTGCTGCATCAGCACCCAGTCACAACAGGTCAGTAGGGTCAGAGTTCAGGGGTCAGTCACTTGCTGGACCTGCAGCTGAATTCCAAGTTCCACTTTACCAAGTTTCAATGTTTCAACGTACCAAGTTCAAAGTTTCAACTTACCTGCTCCTTCTAACCAAGAGTTGTTTTAAATGTTCAACTGGAATGAGGGGGACAGAAGACATCCTCATTTCAGGGGCAATGATAGAATGGATTCTTACTGTCCTATAGCTAGGGCCAGGAGTTTTCCTAGCCTTGTCCACAGCAACAGAGACTGACTACTAACTCAGTGCCCTTCTCTCTCTCTCCTAGGATGAGCTGTGTGTGCTGGCCATGCAGTCAGTCTTCGAGGAGTCTCTCCCTCGGCCCAGTGTAGAGGCTGTCCGAGGAGAGATGTTGCCTAGCGCCTGGGTCCTTCAGCCAATCACACGCCACGTCCGAGAGGTCGTCAGGGTCATCTACCTGCTGCAGGTGAGACGGGAACCAGGTTAATATGACAACGTAAAGTGGTCTGAAAAATCACTCAGTCGATAAATCAATCAATCAATTCATAAAAATGATTGATCAATCCAGTTTTACATCAACAGTTGTCACAAAGTTCTTAAGATCACTTTAGATGCAGATATGCCTAATGATTCCTCATCTCACTGTGGAATCTCTCTTATTTTCCTCCTCGTCCTCTTTTCCATCCCTTACTTTTTGTCCTCCTTTGTTTCAGGTGGACCTGGGCACTCCCCTTCCTCAGAGACTGTTGGGATCAGTGGCTAGGAGACAGGCGTCCGTCCTGGCTGAGCTCGACTCCCTTTTCGCTTTGTGGGACTGACAGCTAGGTCAGGGTCATGTTCATTAGGCACCAAAAGGAAGAAAAAAGACTGAAACAAGGAGGGACTACCTGGACTTTTCCAATAAGAAATGCACATTTTATTTTTCCATTGCAATACATGTTGCTACAATGTGCCCTAATGAACATGACCCAGGTCAGCTGTCCAATTAGAACACAGATTTCCGTCTCACATTGCAAAACATTTTGCTACGGTGTGCCCTAAAGAACACGCCCCAAGGTTAAAGGTAGCAGTGAGCACTTAGACAGACATCCTGAATCTGATATGGGACCTGTCTCTCTTGTAATTTGCAATGTATTTACTTGATTGTATTCTTATGAAGAGCACTGATGACATTGATTTTGTGAGACTAAGTATCATGTAGCTTTTTTATATAGGAACATAACTGTGTGTTTTGTGTTTAAAATTGTTAATTGAAGACCTGTGTTTAATATGTTTGAGTGGTCTAGACTGGCTGTCAGGGAGGATTGAGGGTGTGACTCCTATATCTGATCCATGAAACACATCTTACTGTGTTACTGCAACTTCTGACCAGAGTAAACCCAGGCCCTAAAGGTTTACTTCATAATAACACTATAATAACACTGATTTATATATAATGCAGAATGATCATTAGTCTCCTGTTGCCCATTCCTCTATTTAATCTGTTAGCCTCAGTTGTACTACTTTCATAATTACTGATTTATGAAACAAAGTGATCATTAGTCTCCCATTTCACTGTCCTCCCAGCCGATGAACTAACCGCTTTTATAATGACCACTTATTGACATAATTGTTTTCTCCAGCATCCTGTGTTAACGTCCCAAGGCACAGCACACTTTACCAAACTCACTACCCAACCTTTAAAAAGACATGTTATGTGTTTTGTTGATTGTTCAGAACATTATTTTGTTGTAGTTGTAGTATTGCAGTGTCACAGTAAGATGGTCCCCAGGGGAACCAAAGAAGAAGGAACTGATATGAAGGATCTCGTTTCCCCAGGGAAAGAACAATGAAGTAGCCTAGCTAACTGACAAACTTTTTGTACTGAGTTTTATTTTGATCCATACTTTTGTAAGTGGCTTTTATGTGACATAAATGTATACTACCATGTCAATATGTATAAATATTTATGTTTTTATTATGTTCTTTATTTTAATAACATATTTGAATCCTAAAGAAATGCAAGGAGCATATGTTATTTTCCTGTATAAACTTGACATAAAAAAAAAAATTGTACTTCTTCCTTCCAGTATTGGTTTGGCTGTGTAAATATTATGTATTGTCACGCCCTGACTCAGGGGACTCTTATATGTTGAGTCAGGGTGTGGTGTTCTATGTTGTGTTTTCTATGTTGTCATTCTAGTTTGTGTAGATCTATGTTGGCCGGTGTGGTTCCCAATCAGAGGCAGCTGTCGCTCGTTGTCTCTGATTGGGGATCATACATAGGCAGCCTTTTGGCACTCGTTAGTTGTGGGATCTTGTTCCGTGTTTAGGCTAGTTTTGTGTTCAGCCTTTGGACTTCACGTTTGGTTTGGTTTGTTGTTTTGTTATGTGTTTATTCGTTGTAAATAAACATGTATGCATATCACGCTGCGCCTTGGTCTGACCCGTCCTTAAACGAACGTGACAGAAGATCCCACCAAACACGGACCAAGCAGCGTGCCCAGGAGGACCAAACACCCTGGACACAGGTGGGGAAGATTTGGTCTTGGGAGGAGATATTTGCAGGAAAAGGACCCTGGGCGAAGAAGGAGGCCAAGACAGGAGAGGAGCAACGTCAACACAGAAGCCAGCCGGGAGGAAGCCCGACAATTAGCCCCAATAAAACATTTTTGGGGGGCTAAAGGGGTGGTCGGGGAACGTGAGAGAAGAGCCCCCGACCACTGCACCCGGTGGGTTTCCAGGTTGATTCCCTACGACCATGGGAAGAAGAGTGGGAACAGTATTATACTGAGGAGTCGGAGGATGACGACGACGACGATGATTTTCTGTTCCCTAACTCGTGGGGGCTCCCGGAGGAGTCCTCACTGGAGGAGGAGTGCCGAGAGAGAGAGAGAAGGATCGGATCTGCAGGGTAAGAGAGGAGGCCACCATATTACGGGGGCTGATAGATAGAATAGAGCGGGAGAGATCCATTCAAGAGGAGGCACTGCAGGAGGCTCGTAGGGAGAAAGAGGAAGTAGAGGCACGGAGAGAGGAGCTGGTTAGGCAGCATAAGGAGCGGGGGTTAATAGAGGAACCCAGGTATGCGGCGAAACGCACTGTATCGCCAGTGCGCATGCACAGCCCAGTGCATTCTGTGTCAGCGCCCCGCACGTGTCGTGCAAAAGTGGGCAGCCAGCCAGGACGGGTTGTGCCAGCTCTCCGCTCCAGACCTCCAGTCCGCCTCCACAGTCCGGTCCGGCCCGTTCCTGTTCCTCGCACCAAGCCCGTGGTGCGTGTTCCCAGTCCGGCCCGGCCCGTTCCTGCTCCTCGCACCAAGCCAGTGGTGCGTTTTCCCAGTCCGTCCCGGCCTGTTCCTGCCCCTCGCACCAAGACAGTGGTGCGTGTTCCCAGTCCGGTCCGGACTGTTCCTGCTCCCCACACCAAGCCAGTGGTGCGTGTCGCCAGCCCGGTACGGCCCGTTCCTGCTCCCCGCACCAAGCCCGTGGTGCGTGTTCCCAGTCCGGCCCGGCCCGTTCCTGCTCCTCGCACCAAGCCAGTGGTGCGTTTTCCCAGTCCGTCCCGGCCTGTTCCTTCCCCTCGCACCAAGACAGTGGTGCGTGTTCCCAGTCCGGTCCGGACTGTTCCTGCTCCCCACACCAAGCCAGTGGTGCGTGTCGCCAGCCCGGTACGGCCCGTTCCTGCTCCCCGCACCAAGCCAGTGGTGCGTGTCGTCAGCCCGGTACGACCCGTTCCTGCTCCTCGCACCAAGCCAGTGGTGCGTGTTCCCAGTCCGGCCCGGCCCGTTCCTGCTCCTCGCACCAAGCCAGTGGTGCGTGTTCCCAGTCCGGCCCGGCCCGTTCCTGCTCCTCGCACCAAGCCAGTGGTGCGTTTTCCCAGTCCGGCCCGGCCCGTTCCTGCTCCTCGCACCAAGCCAGTGCTGCGTGTTCCTAGTCCGGCCCGGCCCGTTCCTGCTCCTCGCACCAAGCCAGTGGTGCGTTTTCCCAGTCCGTCCCGGCCTGTTCCTGCCCCTCGCACCAAGACAGTGGTGCGTGTTCCCAGTCCGGTCCGGACTGTTCCTGCTCCCCACACCAAGCCAGTGGTGCGTGTCGCCAGCCCGGTACGGCCCGTTCCTGCTCCCCGCACCAAGCCAGTGGTGCGTGTCGTCAGCCCGGTACGACCCGTTCCTGCTCCTCGCACCAAGCCAGTGGTGCGTGTTCCCAGTCCGGCCCGGCCCGTTCCTGCTCCTCGCACCAAGCCAGTGGTGCGTGTTCCCAGTCCGGCCCGGCCCGTTCCTGCTCCTCGCACCAAGCCAGTGGTGCGTGTCGCCAGTCCGGCCCGGCCTGTTCCTGCTCCTCGCACCATGCCAGTGGTGCGTGTTCCCAGTCCGGCCCGGCCTGTTCCTGCTCCTCGCACCAAGCCAGTGGTGCGTGTCGCCAGTCTGGCCCGGCCCGTTCCTGCTCCTCGCACCAAGCCAGTGGTGCGTGTTCCCAGTCCGGCCCGGCCCGTTCCTGCTCCTCGCACCAAGCCAGTGCTGCGTGTTCCTAGTCCGGTCCGGCCCGTGCCTGCTCCTCGCACCAGACCAGTGGTGCGTGTGTCCAGTCCGGCACGGCCCGTGACCGTTCCACCGGTGCCTGGTCCGGCACCGGTCAGCGGCTCCACTCCGGAGCCAGAGCAGTCCACTCCACCGGTGCCTGATCCAGCTCCGGTCAGCTGCTCCACTCCGGAGCCAGAGCAGTCCGCTCCACCGGAGTCCAGTCCAGCTCCGGTCAGCGGCTCCACTCCGGAGCAAGAGCAGTCCGCTCCACCGGTGCCTAGTCCAGCTCCGGTCAGCGGCTCCACTCCGGAGCCAGAGCAGTCCGCTCCACCGGTGCCCAGTCCAGCTCCGGTCAGCGGCTCCAGTCCGGAGCCTGAGCAGTCCACTCCACCGGCGTCCGGTCCAGCTACGGTCCACGGTTCCAGTCCAGACCCAGACGTCAGCCCCTCTCCAGGTTCGGGGTCTCCCACAACAGGGTCCAGACAGGGCTTGGAGTATCGTGGGAGGAAGGAGAGGGGAAGCAGCGCGCCGAGGTCCAGACCAGACCAGGGGCGCAACAGGGAGGCGGAGAGTATGTTGTCGTCACGCCCGGAGCCGGATCCGCCTCCGAGGCGGAATACCCCCCCGGTCCCTACCCTGTTATGTAAAGGTTGTGCGGTCGGAGTCCGCACCTTTGGGGGGGGGGTACTGTCACGCCTTGACTCAGGGGACTCTTATATGTTGAGTCAGGGTGTGGTGTTCTATGTTGTGTTTTCTATGTTGTCATTCTAGTATGTGTAGATCTATGTTGGCCGGTGTGGTTCCCAATCAGAGGCAGCTGTCGCTCGTTGTCTCTGATTGGGGATCATACATAGGCAGCCTTTTGGCACTCGTTAGTTGTGGGATCTTGTTCCGTGTTTAGGCTAGTTTTGTGTTCAGCCTTTGGACTTCACGTTTGGTTTGGTTTGTTGTTTTGTTATGTGTTTATTCGTTGTAAATAAACATGTATGCATATCACGCTGCGCCTTGGTCTGACCCGTCCTTAAACGAACGTGACATGTATATTAATTGTAAAATGAATGTTATGCTGTTCCTGTGTAGGCCTATAGCCAATTTTCCCTTAAATTCACTGAGCAAATTTCAGGTCTGCTGAGCGTAAACTGGAATGTTGTGAAAATTCTGTGAAACTTCCGGCGAGTGTTTACTGTGAACACTGAGGCTGTACCTGCTTGAAGTTACAGTTTTAACAGTGGTCAAGTAGGCTACTGTGGCTATTTGATCATAATGTAGGCCTACCAGAGTGGCCTACCATCAAAAACAATGGAGAAAAATGTATCCCATAACATTTGAACATGGAAATAGCTGTTCTATCATTCAGCCTACAGTAGCAG